CTTAAGGTCCAATGAAATCTCGGCCCATAACAACGAGCCCCCGTCTTCAGGTGGTGAAGTTCGCATTGAGAGAAGCCGTAAGGACGCTAAGCGTAATGAATGGACCAATCGACTTGACTTTCTCTTCTCCATTATTGGGTTTTCTGTAGATCTATCAAATATCTTCAAGTTCCCTTACCTCTGCTACAAGAACGGCGGAGGGGCATTTCTGATACCATACTTTTTTATGTTGACCTTCTGTGCTCTACCGCTATTCTATCTGGAGCTCGTGATTGGTCAATACTTCAGAGAGGGCTGTCTGAGCATCTGGAAGGTGGCTCCTTTTTTCAGAGGTGAGTTGGGAAGAGGTGTTTGTTAAACCATCTAGAAAAACCGCACTAAATAATGTCATATAGTATAGACGCTCGGCCCCCGAAGAGATGCTACTAAATCCTGCAAATTGTGAATTGATAAGAAGACGGATTTTGGAATAGAGTATTTTCAACCTGTATCCAGATAAAATTCCTTCATCCAGGATAAACTAGCCGCATCAAAAAGTCGGACATGTCTTGAAAAAATATTTTTCCCTGCCAGATTCGGAGCCAAAGCCATCTGTCCAAGTGCAGGCATGCTCTAATTAGGCGAAATTGTCAAATTAAAATAGGCTACAAAACAATATAAATATGGAATTTATTTGACCTTGTCTTCTTGACTTGGTCATATTGTTAGGAAGACTTAGAAGCACGCAGAGGAACGGAGTCCATAGTATGCGTGATAATTTCCAGAATCGGACCGTGGACTTGGTACATTCGCAGACGGCTGGCATCGTAGTCGGCATCGTCAGTGAGTCTTTCCAGTCTCAACACCATAATACAACTCGTCAAAATGATAAGTGCAGCCAAATATTTAACCAATCGTGTGGTATATAAACAGTTGTGGTGTCTCTCCTTCTGTCCTGGTGCATTCATCTATCGTATATCCTCGTAACACCCCTTCAGTGTCACAAACCGTTTTGGTCTTCATACCTTCAAACATAGGTATGTTTCGAAAGTAATACGAATTCTTGAATTAGAGCATAATAGAAAAGTTTTCCCACAATTATAGGAGTAGGCCTCATGCTAGCATTGAGTCGAAATTGCCATTCAGCCCGTAATGTATTGGGATTATCCATGATACAAGCACATATTTGTCACTACAATTGACAGTTTTGCAGTATAAGTATTCTTATAAACTATCCGTTATTCTTGAATTTGGGTTTAGAGTGAGTTTAGAACTAATAGCGCCATATAGCGTTTTGAGAAGTTAAGAATTACTTACAGTTTTGAAAATAGATAAAATCGTCGATTTAAAGGTGAATACACGCTCCCATAATAGGTGTTATGTAAATGGAATAAAATGTGATTTCAAAGAGGCCTGGCCTGCATTAAAAGTCACATCTGCCCTGTGACTCAATAACAGGGTGGCAATAAGTCACTAGGCTGCGCACGACTTAGTATCGAATCCGGCTGTGGGTCTTGACGAATTCCGGAAGAGGTCGAAACTGCAGTTCGGTCTGGATGAGAAAACCTTTTTGGAGATGATGGTGAGTGAAATTAAATGGCCCCGTCTGTCACCCCTATGTGATTGTGAGAAAATCGAAAACTATATCCATATGAAGCAGGTTTCGAGACCGCCATTAAATCCTGGCTAAGAGTTCTAGTTACTCTTCATTAAATAAGGTGATGAATGACTGAAAGCTGAATTTTCCTAATATACTGTGAATGAACTCCACGTTGTCGTGGAATTTCACTTATCCTTACTTCCATAAAAACATTTTTGTTTGGAGTGCACTGCAGTTATGACCTTGTCTTGGTCTCGCCCGCCCCTTCAACGGGAATCGAACCCGGGCATTAAGTGTGTAATAAATTCGTCGATAGTAAAGAGAAATATAGAAGTGGGTTGACCTCATCGCAACTTGGTCTTGTTTTCAGGGAGACCATGTAGAACGCACCTAGTCC